CTTATTAGTAGATTATATGAAATGTAGTCGTAAATTACTAGATTTTTTGGCTAGATTTTTTTTAATTAATAGTTTTGGCTTGGATACAAGACCTTTGAGCCATGTCTTCGTTTAATTATCGGGATCCTCAGTAATATTCTCCATTGCAGTTCTAAATTCTAATACGTTATGTTTTCACTTTCTCTTAAATAACTTGGTTCACTTATCTTGGTCTTTTAAATAGTCTTTTAAGCGGCTGGAGTCAATATTTATGTTTTACTTTCACTTAAATCACACTATCTTTTAGCACTTTGAACAATAACTTTGAATTCGTATATTAGTGGAATTTTCAGGATAGTCTTTTGTAATTTGGTTTAATATAAGGAATATAGTTCTAACTTTCTTCATCACTATTTCTTTCTTCGTTTTTCTTCATCTACTTAAAATTAAAATTATCTTTGTAAAAACTGTACTCGTAACTTCAAAAACCCGCCTATTTGGCTAGATTGTAATGTATGTCCAAGGTATTTTGCTTGTACCTTATAAACAAAATGAAAAAAAAAAATTTTTTTTTCGTGATTGCTTTTAATTGCCTCCGCAAAGGTCTCGAGTTTAATTCCCAGGCGTTTTTGAAAAAACAAATTTACGCGAATTACATCCAGAAAAATAGTTCATTTACAATATTTCTGTATCAGGTACTTATCTACATATTTAAAAAGCGAACCAGCTAACAAAGTGCAAGCCAGTACGATTATTTATTATTATCATACCAAAAGATTACACATTCATATCATTCACATTATCTGCACAGGTATTCATTGTAGTACCGGATTTATCTATGTCGCTCCACTTTGTTTCGAATACTTTACTGTAAATACACAATCTACCACTTTAGAGACGTTATAAATATATCTTATAAGTTAGGTACAATAACGGATCCTATGTAATAGTAGGTATATTGCGTATTAAGGGCAGTAAATAAGAAATTAGTAACGAGAGTTGAAGCCCGAAGCCGAAGGCTGGGGATTTAATGACTCGAGATTTGCAATTTTTACCACCATTTTGTATGTAGTACTGCAATGTTTTTCATCACATTTGCGAGGAAATAGGTACAACGACAATTTATTTCTTGTATGAATAAATGTCGCTTCACAACACATCTTTCACGGATTTTGCAAATGGGATTTTTGTTCTTTTTTTAAACAGATTTCCAGCTATTCTTCCATAGATACAACTCGAACTAAAATGTTATAAAAGCCACAGGCGCATGTAGCCACAGCGTATTAGAAAATAAACAATTTCTAAATTCTAAACATACTGCAGATTTTGAATTCACAATATAGAATAAAATGTAGTTAAATTGCAAATTTATAGGAAATATATGCGTTCAGATTTTCGAGCAATATCTTTTTGCATAATCTTGACGTAAAAAATCAGTAGGGCGATAATGTAATGAAAATAATTTGGGACATTACGTTCGACTTTGCCTGCATATCGTGACATTGTTTAGGAACAAGTGTGATGAAATTTATACAAAATGTTAAAGAGTACAAAAAATGGTCATTTATTATAACACATTACTATGCAACCGTATTCTTAGTTGAACTGTATTCGTGACATGTACCTATATAAATAATTATACTTTTTTTTATAAAAGAAAAATAAACCGACGTGAAAAGTTTGTGGTATTAAGTACATCTATTTGCCAAGTTTTATTCAAAACGGTTAACGAAAAGTGTTTGAAATCCAATGAACCTCCCCTTATTTGTTACCCTTAGAGGTGGAATATTTTATTTAAATGGAACCAATAAAGATACCCTCTTTCCAAGAAAAAAAAAATCATCAAAATCGGTTCACAAATGTCGGAGTAACCATGAGTAACCTCGTAACATACATACAAAAAAATAGTCTAATTGAGAACCTCCTTCTTTTTTGAAGTCGGTTAAAAACAACAGTGATAGCCTACTTAATAGAATGCCTCCCTCTTATGTACATCTTTACCACTATTATCCCAAGACGTGAAGTGCTTATAACATTACATAACCCTACCGTGGTTTTTATTATTAAAAAACTTAAGAGGACCTGCGCTCAGTAGCAAAACGTATATAGATTATATCGTTTACGTATTATAACAATTATAAAAAAACATATAATTTAGTCTTTCTTAAATTTGTTTCATTACGCGCCGCGCGAACAAATCAAAATACCTATTTTTTCACGTGTCACTATACACTACTATAAATATATATATATATATATATATATATATATATATATTGGGCCCTTTACATGTCCCGAATGGTCGGTTTGTTTCAAAAAACAAATATACGCGATTTAAATCCGGAAAAATAGTTTCATTTCCTATGTGTAACAATCGCGAAAACCTAAGAACTCGATACTACTATATATGTTATCTATTTCTGCCGCCAAGAAGTAATGTCAGCTTTACTGCGTTCCGGTTTTGAAGGGCAAGGGTACTAGTGAAATTACAGGCACATGGGACTTGTCAACTTATGTTTCAGGATGACGGGCGCAGTGGCGATGCCCCTAAGATCTTTGCTATTTAAAGCTTTGAGTCGCATTGCAACTGTTATGCCTATGTATCGCTTGCCACCAGGCGCACGACTTGTTCGTCCGTCACTTGGTATGGTAAAGAAAAAAAATATTTATGTATATACTTATATTCAAATGCAAACAGATTTAAACAATATAAGGTGCAGTCATAGTTTAAAAAAAAATAAACAGTAAACTTTTTTAATGGTAAAGGTCAAATGTTATCAACCATGGTTGACGGCTCATACGACGAGACATAAACGTTCATTTGTTGACGTGTCATATTGATAAACTTGTTGACGTAAATGTGCATCAATGTTCAACTCCTTAACTGTGGGCATTTAGAAATGGATAAAATCCACTCTGATGAGACTCCGACATACACTTTTCATCACAGTGGTTTCTGTAACCGTTAAATAAAGTAATAATAAGTTAACTACCTAAACTTTCAATACTAAAGCTAATCACAATCTTGGTATCGAGAAGATTGGAGCCGCGTATCAAATTTTATTAGGTATTTTAAGTAAATTTTAATTTATTTTAAATTTCAGTAAAAGCTCACTCATCCTAGCAATGCTCTACACGTGCTGTGCTCTAGCAAAAGAGCTAACGGACATCGAAATCCTGACGTCACTGCCTACGCGATGCACCTACGAGCACGCGTTTAACATGTACGGAGCGCATTGCGCGGGACTGCGGCTTCAGAAGATACCCAACTTGAAAGGAAGTATTGAGGCGAGTGTTGGAAGTATGAATAATTGGTTCTGTGTAAGTGAAGAGCAGGCACGCGCGAGAAAAATCAAGAAAAACCTATTTTGACCAGATTCATTGTATTCACTATTCACGGTACAACGATTCTCCAAAGCAACAGTAGGCACGTGGCCAGTTTTATTAAAAAAGAAGCAATCATCCTCTTAAAGGCACTTTGTACGCGAGCCACTTTAGTCGGCTCGTCTAGAAAGAACCATACGCTCCAATGCTGCTTTGTTTTGGGATCGTAACTATAAATCCATGTTTCGTCACCTGTGACTATATCCGACACCAAATTTGACGGCCATTCGTTGATCTGGTAAGCATGGCATTGCACCAAATAACGCGATCCGTTTTTTGAGCCTCAGTCAAATTGTGTGGGATCCACCGAGAGCACAGCTTTTTCACACCCAAATGTTTGTGTAGTATTGATTGTATTTGACTCAGCCTAAGCCTAAAGATGCGCGAATCTCATGGTATGTCACATGCGTGTCTGTTTTGATCATACAGCGCACAGCATCGATGTTTTTGTTCCTCACAGCAGTGCACGGGCGACCATCACGAAATTCGTCACTAAGATTCACACGACCGCGTTTGAATTCTGCAAACCAGCTATAAATAGTCGTCTTGCATGGTGCTTCATCACCAAAAGCAGTTTGAAGCCGAGGAAAGCTCCGCTGAGCTATTAAATTACACTTAGTCGTATAAAATCATACTACGAAAATTTTCACGGGTTAAATCCATGGTGATGTAGACAACCAATTTCTAAAATGACGCCACAATGTAAAAACAAGTGGCAGTCAGATGAAACAAACTGTATTCTACAGCCAAAGAGTTTCATTTTCAAATGTTGTAATTACTTTTTAAATATTGTTTATGTAAGTGGCCAGTTCCGGAAACTTATTGTGCACTCTATGTATTAGCATGGGCGCAGCGTAGCCCCACACGACGTAGTGGGTTGAAACCAATTAAAGTCAGCTAGATAGGATTAGGTAGCATTAGAATTAACAGACAAATGTAGAGTCATTACCACAGACTTTTGTAGGAATGTTTCATATAAGAACTACAATATCCAATTCCAATAATTTCAATTTCTGAATTACAGATCCTCGACTTCAGCGATAACAAATTACGTAAAATATCGTCTGATACTCTGTCAAGCTATACAAGCATCAAGTTCCTCTATTTATCTGATAATAAAATCTTCCAAATCGAAAATGACGCCTTCGATTCCCTCACAGAACTTCAAACGCTCGATCTCTCTAACAATGTCATCATAGATTTGCCAGCAAATATTTTCCAGCTTCCCAATCTAAGGAAATTGTATCTTAGCGGAAACTCGCCAATACACGAGGATTTAAATCAAATTGCACAAACAACAACTATAGGAGCACCGCTGGAGTTACTGGATATCTCAAATTGTGAGATTAAAGTGTTACCCGAATGGGGACTGCTCCCTCAATTGATAATCTACAATGTTTCACACAATCCTTTGAGATCACTCAATGTGAAATACTTCCCGGCAATGTGCAATTTGGCGAAAATTGACATCACTAATTCTATAGAGAATATTCGACTGTGTGATCTCAGGCCGGCAATTTCATGGTTTCAAGACAGACTAATATACTTCCAGTTAGACGATTACTCCACACTGAATTCAAGAGGTAAGCTTTATTCTTATACTGGGATATCACAAAAGTACGTACACATATCTAGTTGCTAATTTATAATTAACTTTTTTTTCAGAGTTTGCTAAATGTAGCAACACGTACAACGCTGATGCTTACAATAGTACTTTTCAGAGATGTAAAAGTAAATTTCTGCAGGTAAAGACTCTCCCACATACTTATTCAAGTCAACATTAGTAGACTTCTAGGTAAAAACTGAAGAACAACAAGTCCGTCCAACAAGTTTGCACAAGTGTATGTTATATATCATTACAAAGTATAACTGAATAAAGTACAATTCACTACTTGCCTCTATTTGTAGTCCTCTCAATTGCCTCTTCCTCAGGTTGAAAGTAAGCCGCCAAGCCGTCGGACATGGCTGACCGTTACAGGTGGACTACTAGGATTTCTAGTTGGCTTCGTACTGCTGCTCTACCTAATGCACCGGCATAACGTCGCACGTATCAAGAGCGCAGAGAAAAAGAAGACAAAGCTAAAAGAAGGCAATGCTGTCAATGCTATGCTGATAAATGACGTTTCCTAACAAAGTTTCACAATATAGAAATTTTACATTTATTGCGTAGTACAATAAGACAAGTAGGGTAACTCAATACAAACGTAGCAGAGACACACACATTCGCATAATCTCGCGGTGCATTTACGTTCCATAGCACGAGACGTCACACGCGCCATTAATTAGAAAGTGGTCGCTCGGTGTTAAATTAAATTATTTATGTGTGCTTACTCCACGTCGACCTCATTGTCCTTTTCATGAGGTGAGTGGGAAGTCAAATGCACATTTATGTTTTATTAAAAAAAATACATCAAATAGTAGACGTGTTTATTGTTGAGTTTATGGTAGTTTGAACAAGAGTAACTCTCAATCAGAATTGTTCAGCGTTTCATTTCTATTTAATAATCATACTCCCATAATCGAGGTACCAATCCGCGATACTGATGTAAAAATCAATACGTTAGTGCTGCATTCAACAAAGGTTATTTTAATATAGCACGAAAATACTGTAACAAACACCATATTTTTTTCCCTGTAGGTTAACATAATTTACAACTAAAATAATAATGTGACAACCCTACACTACAAGCGAAGTGTACGCGATGAACAGGCAGGAGTTGCTCTACTTGTCATATTATATTATGTTTACCGTTTTGGGGTAAACGGGAGTAACTAGAATATATACAAAGACACAACGTAGGTAATATTTTCTATGTATATGTATCAATTCAATGTAAATAATTTGTAATGTTGTGTCTTCTAGTGACAATGTGACCTGTGTTGCAAGAATGTGACGAGCGTGTTAAATATCCATACTACATTATTTAGTTGCAGCATAAAATGTTCATGAAACCAAAGAAAACTATCACATAAAATATGAACACACAAAATATAGCCTCAAAGGCTGAAATTAATGCTATTTAAATTTTTTTTATGCTTCTTTATTTTTTATATTTATATTCTTTATACACAAAATACACAAGTCAAAGACTAACACGTTATTGGTAGACCCCAAAAAGGTAGCAGTGGTATTGACCAGTTAATAATGTAGTTGTTTGATATGTGGCAAGTCAGGTCAACTATTAACTGGTCACCCCTTACCCACAAACTATTGTATAAGTAAAGAGAAAACTTTGCCGAATAGGTACAGGGCGTTGTGTGTTAAACTGATTTTGTATAATAGTGTTAAGTTAGAGGCTTAAAAAAACTGATTAGACTTTCACTACATAATAAATTGATTAACTATATTAATATATTACATAATAATGTAATATTACATTGAACTAATATTTGACAAATAATATGCATTTACTTTTCATCACAAAATATCCTTACATCCTTTTAGGTAAGATTCACTGTGATAGCTAATTAACTCGTTATTTTTATTAAAATGTTCCATGATATCCTTATGGTTATTTCATTGTGCAAGTAAAACCCTGAAATCCCATTTTAAAACGAATTATATTTAAATGAAATTAAACAAACTGAACTATATTGATCACAAGCTAAAATATGAAGCATTATTGATTGCTATGCTGATTTTCATTATGACAAAACATCTCCAACTCAACTAAATTGCAGGTAAATTAACAAACCAATAGAACGACAGCCTTGACTAAACACGGGCAGTGGTTTCCCTCAGTTGGCGGGTTCTATGCCCTCCTTCTACTTTGTCTGCAAGGACACGTTATGAATGCCAGCTTCAGGTTGGTTCCGTTGAATGTTGTCCAAGTTTGTGGAAAGTTATGGGTTTCTCAGGTGTCTTTCTTTTCACTATCGCTAACAGGCTTGGTAGTGGACGGCGTTGCTTCCTTCGCGAGGCGTTGCTTACTAAATTTCCCCATGCCTGGTTGATAGATTACTAGGCTGGGGCGGTCCTGTCAACAACAATAAGAACATACTAATACCTTGCTAATAGCAAATTATAACTTGTAAATAATTTGCTAATAGTAAATGACTCAGAAATGTTCTATGAAATTGACTAATATATCTTACCTTATTCCTAATTCTTCTTTCTGTGCGCCTATCAGAACTATCGCCTTTTTCTTTCTCCTCTGAACCTTCTCTGTCTATGGAGTTGCCCCTTTCATCGAGAGACTTTTGTCGTACCAATATACCCTCCTCTTTCACTGACAGTTCCCCTCCAGACTCAAGACTGCTTCTCCTCTCCTTAATTTCGTTTTTTTTGTCTGATGTTTCGTCAATGAAATCCTTTAATTCTTTTTTTAATTCAGAATAAGCTTCTGATTCAATCTTGGCCTTTTTATCCATCCCCTCAATAATTTTACTCAAATCGTCAGTTTTCACTTGCGGCAGTTGAGTGAATGGTTTGATATCATCATGATTCAGTGACTTTGTTTTAGCTTCTGCTGATATTATTTTACTTATTACTGACTGTTTATCTGATTTCGTAAACTCTGTCTGTTTGATTCTTTCCTTTCTTGTGTCACTATATTTTTTACTCTTTTGCTCGCGTGGCGACTCTTTGAATTTTTCCCGCTTCTTGTCATCTGTTAGGTCGTCATCTCTAATAATGGTTTCTTTTTTGTCATCTTTTTTCTTCTTATCTGTTACTACGTTAGTGTTAAGTTTACGTTGTTCCCTGTACGTTTTGGACTCAAAAACTGTTCCATCTTTAGCATCAGACTTTATTTGATCATCTTTTGGTTCACTAGACTTTTCTTTTTCCCATTCTCTTGATTTAATCTTCTTAACTTCATTTTCTCCTGCTTCTTCTTCCTGAAATTATTTATTATAATTATTAAACATTGGCACCAAGTGAAGTATAGTCACTAACTAATGTTGTTTGTCTACTATTATGAAATGAAAATTAAAAAAAACTATAAACCTGTGCCTGACTGATCAACAATAATACTTTGGACTAATAGACAATACCTATACAAGATACAATACACTTTTCTCTTATCTACTGTGAAAATTAATGAGCCAACCTATTCCAAAACAAATATTGAACCTTAAAATAGGTGTCTCCACCACTTTTTTGACTAGCCTCTTGAATTTCTTTTTTATCACAGACTTTTCCAGACGTAAGAGTGAATGTATTGTGCGTTTTCATAGTCAAAGCAGGAAAATGGCTGTCCCAGTCAGAATCAGTACTGATAAACTCATCAGAGCCGTGAGTGCTCTTCAACTCGGGTTTCACAATGTTACATTTAACTTTACTTTTATGGTACACTCTGGGTTCTCCATACCAAAAATTCTGATTGTTATGTTTTTCGTAGTAATCGCAACTGTCATTATATGTTTCATCTTCAGATATATCTCCAGGCCTCTATACAAAATATTGTAAAAATTATTAAGTGATATAAGGTCAACTAGAGAATATGATTGCTTGTAGATGTCTGTTAACAATTTGAATATTTTAAAGCTAAAAAATGTCTTTATCCAACAACATAGGAAGGAAGAGGAGTTGTATGAAATGAGTAAATAAAAATTAACAATTTCTGTATTTGTAAAATTTCAGTTAAACTTATTAGGCTGCTACTACATACATACCTATCACTCCAGTTTCCAAAGACTAAGATATTTTGTTTCCTCCACTTGCATCAGATTTTCATAGTCTATTCTTAGTACTTTTGCCCTAACCTTGAAGTGGTAATGATTATGTTGACATCTACTAGTCAACAGCACTACTCAATACCACTATTTATTTATAGCTAATTCTTCAAAAAAAGTATGTGGCTGTTAAAGGTGTCCACATAGTATTCAATTACATGTTATGAAACTTTGAAGTACCTTTATAGTCAAGTCTTTAGATTTCCTCTCAATCCTCATTTTTCTCTTATCATTCTCTCTACGGCGACGCTCATCTCTGCCCCTTTTGTCCTGCTTGCGGGCAGCCAAGTATTCTAACAGTGGAGTTGATTGCACTTTTTTGTCATTAGCTGTAAATTAGAAAAGTTTTATTATTAATGTATTAAATATTATGTTTTAATATTAATATTTCGATTAAAGGAAGACTACCAACTATTGAGATATGATAATATCATTTTCATAGAAAATTACACTTTAAAAAACAAGACAAATTATTATAGTGAACTTAATCAATATGAGACTATTTCACATAGAAGTTAAAAGAATATCTATAAGATTGATAAACAGAGTGTAAACTGAATCAGTACTATGGAAATAATTTCATAAAAGAAATTAATGTAAACACAGCTGTATAGTTTCAGAAATGTCAGAAGCAACAAGTGTGTGCCTCCTCAAGTAATTATATTACAAATAATAGGATACATATATAGCACCTATCACTCTTAGTATACCCTAAACCTTACAATTAGTAAAGCTGATAATAGTAGTGGGACAGCAGAAAAAAAAATTAAAAATCAGTAGTAACTAACCATCATTGATGGGATATGAATATTCAAGCTTGGGCTGGCTGTCTGCCTCCTGATCCTTATTCAGCTTCTCCAAAAAGTCCTGGTAAACTGGATCACTCTCAATTGTACCACATTTGGGGTCCTTCTTCTTTTTCTTTTTGGGGATCCTTTGAAATGGTGCATATTCCACTATGCCAACATACTCCAAACCTAGTTTATCAGAAACAAACAGTCAATAACAATTACCATAACTCTTATCAGGTTGTATACAGTTTTAGTATGCAACTATAAGGTTGACAGATTTTCTAGTGGTTACAAACTAATTACCTTTTTCATCTAAGAAAATATATCCGTCAAATTTGTTTCTGAATAGGTAAATATCATCCACGTTCACAAAATTTATGTAAGCCCTCGAATACAGATTATTTCCGAGTGAGCGATCTGGTTTAGCGAAGTAAAAATAGTCATGCTCTGGAATCGGTGACACTTGCTCCAGGAACGCTTCCTCCGTCATAGCAGGCGGCAACCTTCGCAGAATAATCTGCAACCAAACAGTAACATTCTGCAACCTTTTATTATGTTGATAAAATAACGCTTCCAAGCTGTTAAAGAACACTCACTTTGGTCAGTGGCCGCTGTGCCTTCGTTTTCTTATCCTTGCTCTTGTTAACAAATGTTTTACTACCTGAATCTGACTGAGTGTCCTTGGCATCTTGATCCTCAGTCATTTTACAATTTAATTGTACTGTATCTTGTCTAAATAATGAACATTATCAAAAAATGCGTGTTTCGTCTGTCGTGTGCAATAATTTGACAGGTCATTTTTGTTGACAGCGGGCGTTCCTCCACACGTACAAGAGTTTCGGTGCCCTTTGTAATTTACTGTGATAAATTTGATAATATATCATTAATTTTATTAAAATTTTACTTACCTATCATTTCATACCTAATACTTCAAAAAACTAACGGTTGGTTATTTCTTGCCGCGTTTTAGTCGAGAAACTTTACGAAGTATAGTATATATTACAGACATCATGGATCCACGTTTGGCTTGATCGGTATCGTACTGGTACTCATTCATAGAATCGCACTAAGCACTATCGAAGACATTTTATTTTTGTAATGGAATCCAAGAAAGAAATTACTCGCAGTCTTGGCTGTATGGCGCATAGTGCCATTTGCTTTTTCCAATGGAAAAAACAGTAGAAAAAAAAGTAATGTCAAATTTTGAGGTTATTTACTGAGTTAAGTTTTCTACAGAAAATGTACAAATATCTTATATGTACATAAAACTGTAGTTTACAACGAATACTTTAAAAGTATAATATCATGCTTCCAACGATAAAATTGGGACGTTCTTGTTTACGAACTTCTTATTTGAAATTGAAGTCATGTCGATTTTGTTCCATCACTGATGCAAATCCTGAAGAAAAGTCAACGATTACGACGCTTGGTAAAATTGGGGGATTTGCTAGAGCCTTTGAGAAACAATCACAAATCCACGATACCCAGGAAAATGTTGAAAGTCAGACATTTGCGACTCTTTTGAGAAATTCAAAATTAATGGATGTAAGTGGTACAGCTTACAGTATTTTCATTATATCTACAGATCCATTTGTTAAAATTTACTTCATTCTAAAGCTGTAATATATCGCACATGAAACCAATATATACGACACTATTTTCTCAAAACACTCAAAATTGTCGAATGATGAAAACATGGTTTGAAAATCTAAAAAATACTGAATGGATCTTATTGCGAATTATGTGATAACTAAATAATATTTAGTTATCCATTTATAAACGAGAATATATATATATATTTCTAGTATTTTTTAAAATTTTCAACTCTTGTTTCTAATGTATTGAGTTCTTAGGTTTTCGCGATTGTTACACAAAGGAAATGAAATTATTTTTCCGGATTTAAATCGCGTATATTTGTTTTTTCAAACAAACCGACATTTCGGGCCCTTTACAGGTCTCATGGCCAAGGTTGACTGAGGTGGTGCAGTCTTCAACCAGTTATGTCTAATATTGATGCAAACCACCTTATTTTTTCCACTATAATTACAATAGTTATTAATTAAATACCTTATTTTTAATTTTACAAAGAAAACATTCCAATTTACGCTACATTAAGTTTTACAAATTATTTTTTTGAATGAGTTATTATTAAGTTCAATTTATTATTAATTATTAATATAAATTAAAATAAACTAAAACATATTAATTAGTACTGCAGTCTTATGTCTGTTTGGAATTTTTCATTAGAGGAAATACTGGATCCCAAACTGGTGGTACGGAGAAACCATCTTCCCTGTTGAAATTAGGATGTTTTTTAATTTCAATGGCCTCTCGCAGCATCCTGGGGATAACGGACTTCTTTTGCAAGGACCTGGGGTTTGTCAAACTTCATTGAATGTGTAGGTTTATCCATGACATGCTCGCAGACTGCAGACTTGTTTACGCGACGGTGTTTGACATCAGCTATATGTTCTTTGACGTGGGTACAAATACTTCGCTTTGTTTGTCCAATATAAAAGAGACCGCACTCACAGTCAAGCTTAAAAATGTAAAGGGCAGAAATGTCGGTTTGTTTGAAAAAACAAATATAAGCGATTTACACCCGGAAAAATAGTTTCATTTTCTTGTTTCTAATTCCACAATTCTGAGTTTCAACAGTATTGGTTTCTTGTGCGATATTGCAAATTGTTGCCATTTGCCAATTGTTGTTGTTGTATTTTTACTTAATACGGAAAAAATATTGAACAACCATACATTTCTTATACTTTGGATGTTTTTCTTTCAGTTGGGAGACTCCGTAAATAAAATAGTAATTGGCAAAATATTCCATGTAGTTGAAGATGACCTATACATAGATTTTGGATGGAAATTCCATTGTGTATGTGCAAGGCCAACCAACCGAGGTAATGAGTATATAAGAGGAGCACGAGTAAGGTTACAAGTCAAAGACCTTGAACTTTCTTCAAGATTCTTAGGTTCTAGTGCTGACTTGACGCTGCTAGAAGCCGATTGCAAATTGCTAGGCATTGTATCAAGCCCAGTACGACCAATTATTAAGGAAAATTAGAATATTTTAAGTAACTTTTTTCTTTGTGCTCTTAAATAAAGTTTATGTAGTCAATAATATTGATTTTCATTCATATTAGACATTGTCAGAAAGGGGCCCTTTAAAATTTTAAGTCTATTTCTGCTTCAGTTTCTGTGGGTATTAAATTTCGTATAAGAGCAGTTTTGCCAGACTGCAAATAATTTGTAGATGCTTTTAAAACAACTGTATAACAAAAAATATACAATAACAACAATAAATCGATGATCTAATATGAGTACACTAAAAAAGGATTGATTATGATAACAACCTTCACATCGTCGCCGTCGGTGTTTCGTAGAAAGGGCGAAAGCGCCCATTTCGAAAAATTTTTCAGGGGAGTAGGTATGTTTTAGGTTAAGTTTTAAAATAGAATTCAAAATAGGTTGTAAATATTTTAAAACAGCCTTGAAAAAAATTTCTAAATGGCGCTTTCGTCCTTTCTACAAAACACCGACAATAATTATGACCCGTCACAAGCGCTCGAATGTTTAAGGCCGGCGCAGACTGACGTCGCGGCACGGCACGGCATGCCGCGGCATGTCGAAGCGCGTCGCGGCATGCCGAAGCGCGTTGCGGCATGCCGCGGCACATTCGCTGCGCGCCATTCGCCGAAATCGCCGCCGCACTAGTTTCAAACCTTATTTCAATTAGTTTAATTGTCATAATTCTGTGACCGACGTGACTTGCGGGACGTCTGTGGAATGAAACGGCATGCCACGATGTGCCGCGGCATACCGCGGCGTCCTGCGGCATGCCACTACGTGCCACGGTATAATTGTATCGACATAAAGTAATATGAATTCTAACCTCGATGAAATAAGGATAAAAATAAGTTGATCAAAAATAAAATCCTTTGCCGTGCCGTGCCATGCCGCGACGTCACTCTGCGCCGGCCTTTAATCGAAATCAAAAGACAATTGAAGTTTTTTTTTTTTTTCAAATTATAATTCTGTTATGTGGCCAGTGATTCTTATTAATATTAACATTGTTAACATGATTCAGAAACCGTTTAGCGTTTAGCTAAATGAATCCTTGTAAGTATACTATTAAATATTTTAGGTATATTAATTAATTATTGTTTATTACACATTAACAACAACTGTTAAACAAAAAGCTACTTAGAACTCTGCAAAATCTGGACGTGATTAAAGCTAGCGGGCCAAATGGAAGTCCAGCAATAGTCCTGCATAACTGTGCACCTGAATTGTCTCCTGTTCTCACACGCCTGTACCGTCTCTCACTTGAGACTAGTGTAGTTCCCAGGTCGTGGAAGCTTGCAAACGTGTAACCTGTGCCAAAAAGGGAAGCAGAGCTGATCTTGTCAACTATAGACCTATCTCAGTCACTTCCATACTCTGCAAGACTGTGTGGAACGTGTACTCAACAACCGTCACTTATCGTACCTTGAAGACAACGACCTCCTCCGACAACGATTCCGACGAGGGCGATCTACTAGGGATCTTCTTGTGTACTCCTGTCACATGGAGCGAGGCTATAGAAAAACATGGCGAAGTACTTGCAGTGTCTGGATATTTCTAAAGCCTTTGACAGGGTCTGGCACGCAAGCCTTTTAAGTAAGCTTCACTCTTATGGGCTTTGACCTTTGCAATTGGATCTCGGATTTCTTGAGCGAACGTTCGATTCGAGTGGTCTTAGAAGGCTGCTTTTGCGAACATATGGTGATAGATGATCCTCAGGGTTCCGTACTGTCTGCAACTCTTTCAGCTGCATATCAATGATATGTTAATTCCAGGTACTTATGCGTATACTGATGACAGCACAGTTGTAGATAGGTTCTTGACCAATGCAAGGGTCATTGGAGAGGATTGGAGGAGTGGAGGTTTAGATTTGACAATCCAGGCAGTCTCCGATTGGGGTAATGCCAATCTTGTCAAATTTAACGTTACCAAAACGCAGACGTGTTTATTCTCTACAAAACGGAGTCCCTTTGAGCTGGCTCCGACTTTTCGTGATATATCCATACCGATAGCCGACTGCCTCCAGCTACTTGGAATGGACCTGTGGTCCAATTTGAACTTCGGTAGATATATTGAATCCATAGCCAAAAATGCAGCAAGGAACCTTGGGATCCTTGTCAGGGTGAGGCGTTACTTTACACTGGGACAAGTGCTTCAGCTGTACCAAGTACAAGTCCGGTCGTGCATAGAGTACTGCTGTCACCTTTGGGATGACTGCTACATATCAACTGGCCACTTTGGATTCAATTGACAACCGTGTCAAGAGACTTATAGGTGACTCGGAATTAGTGGAGGCGAAGCCTTGAACACCGCCGTAAAGTTCCCTGCTTTTCGGTATCTTACAGAATATATCACGGAGAGTGTGCGATGGAATTACTCGATTTAATTCCGCCTTCCCCTTTCCATAACCGGGGTCTAGGCGTAGGCTTGGGTTCCACCCCTATGTTGTGGATATTCCAAAGATTAGCACGAAGCGTTATGCTTCCACATTAATATAGCTAACGGCTATGGAGTGGAATTCCCTGCCTTCAGACTTGTTCCCTGAACGTTTTAACTTGGGTCTTTTCAAGGTGAGAGTGAATAGGCTTTATTTAGGTGTGCGTGCTCCATCGTCGACCTCATCATCACTTTCCATCAGGTGAGATGGAGAGATTGTAATTCACAGGAGTAAATAAAAAGCTATTTTTAATTCAACAGTTTTAATAATTGACATTTACATTTTTCACAACATCAAATACATAACATAGAGAGATAAAATTCTTAATCTATAAAATTGTTTCCTACTACAACTATTTATTGTCTTTCTAACATAGGAATTCTTTTACTTTATTTTTGATTGATGATGAGTGAATATTATTTTTTTATGATTGTCACAATACAAATAAACAATATTGGAATGTATCACACTTATTTATCTTGATTATATTAATATGTTAAAATGTATATAATAAACCTTACAAGTTACTGAGAAAAAGGATCAAAGAAAAGTAAGTTTTTTTTAATCTACAACAGAATTACCATACACAGATCAGAAAAATTAGTTAACTTTTAAAGTTCCTACAAAGTTATAGAACTCTCCAAATGTTTAATTAAATATCCACTGTCGATATCATGTAGGCATAGTTTTTGAGATCGTATTAATACATATTGTTTTCTCCATTGAGATGATTCCGAAATTTATTTCGTTTTGTCACCATTTCTGGTGACGATCTCTTGAATGCTTGGATCTTTGACCGCGTCTACGGGGGCAGGATGTCCTTCTAGGATATCGTCAACTTTGCAGGCAGTCACATCTGCTTTTGGTTTTTCGGGGTGTGTTCGTTCCCATTCCTTGAGGTACTGTACTACAGCGGTGTGGCCGAATGTTTCCGCCTCATTAAGTGGGCGGCTGCCCCAACGGTCACGTGGATCGTGAGGCACGCCACACTGAGCCAGAAGGAAATCAACACACGGAAGATGACCTTCTGCCGCAGCCAAATGTAAAGCTGTACGGCCGTCGTAATCTGACATTGTCATGTCCATTCCAGAGAGGTGATGCCTGAGATAACAAAAAAATTATGAGAAAGTGCTTTTGAGATTGACAGCCACGTTTGCAACTACGTATATTGTAAAACACGTGTACGAATCTACATACTATATAAATCTATTGTATAAATCGATAAATGTACCTCACTAATTGAAGTATTAATAAGGAGAAAAAACGAAACATTGAATATTAGAATGAATTGAGTGTTTCAAGCGAGATGCTCAACTTTCGCAGAAGTATTCAAGCCAATTGAAGTCTATATACTTACTATAATTTTTCAATTGATTACAATTGCTTCTAAATGTATTCTCAAAGCGCATATCACAGCGTTCTAACTTTATTTGTTGAATGCAATTGATTTAAGCGGATCCAGCGGTATAGGAAGGAGAGACGACAGCGGCCGTTATTTGTTATGCTTGTCATAGGAATCATTATGAATTAGAAAAATTGTTTTACCTTCTCAGGGCACTGAGATCCCCACTGGCCGCTGAGAATAGAAGATTGACAATGTTAAGTCCCGTAGACTCAAATTTGTGACGCCGCGGGTCCTTCTTGTGGCTAGCATATCGAATATTGTCGTACTTGTGGAAATTAAAACGCGCGACAAGTTCCTAAAATGAGAAAAAATCGGTCTAAAGATACAACATGGCAAATAACGAATATCTGTGTCAAACAATTGTAGTATTTCACATACATCACAAAACTGTAGTCCTCTGCAACTGTTGCCTAGTGGATCTAGGGGAGGAGACCAAGTACAGATTCCCATCACGTTAGGCACCACAATAAGCATGGCTCCAGAGACCCCAGACTTTGCGGGCAGACCCACTTTAAAAGCGAATTGTCCAGAATAATCGTACATCCCACAGCTATGCATCAGTGACAAGACGTTCCGCACTGAGTCTGGTCGAAGCACTTTTTCGTCAGTGATTGGGCAAATTCCTCCATTAGCTAATGTTGCAGCCATAATTGACATAATTTCACAATTGGCTTCCATAGAACAGCACTGAAAACAATTGCACCCCAAATATTGAATGGAAAAAAGTGTAAAAAATTGTAATAATGAAAAAACAAAATATAAGTTACCTGGAAATAGAAATCCATACATTCTCGTAGGTTCGTCTTTTCAGGATAGCATTTGTATTCTCGCATGTAAAATCCGAGCGCATAGTTTCGATCTGCGGCCTCTCGTTCAGACAAAAATACTGCGTTATTGAAACCCACAACTTCATTGCCAGCAAGGCGACTGAAAAATGACATTACATAGTCGAACTTTTCGGCGAGTGTCATCTCGGGTTTATCCAACGTCTTCAGTAATGCGCACACCAGAATTGCGCCAGCATTAATCATCGGGTTGTGTGGTTTCACTAAAAGATGATACAAACATATTATTCAAATTTTGGAATGGACCCAATCCTTTGTTCATAAACATAAAATACATTAGATACAAGTTAATGAATAAAGGCACTATATTAAAATCTTCGCTATTTGATAAACATTATATACGTACTATTGTAATCCAAGACGAGTTCATTGAAGTTACGCCCGCTGGGCTCTGTGCCAACGTACTTGTGTACTACATCAGGACCCAAAGTTTCGAGCGCCATAGCGTACGTTAACGGCTTGCTACATGATTGTAGAGTAAACGGGACACTAACATCTCCTACACATAAAAAAGGCATGCAATTAAATGATCATTTTAAATTTGCAAAACCAGCAGGCACGAAAATCTAAACGGTCATCTTTTTTAATGATTGATCCCCTTTCTCTGAGACATAAAATACATTAAATCGATGGATATTTTAATCTGTTCTGAGCTACGCAAAAAATGTTTCATTTGTATGAATTAACTTTGATAGTTTTATGTTGGGCCTCAAAACTAGACAAATGAGCGTTAAAAATAAAGTTTAGATACTTATTTTTAAAACTAAGTAAATGTTGATTATATTTGTATAGATAATAATATTATATTAATTATAATATAATTCGACTCAATAGTAGAACAAAGACCCATGAGCAAGACTGCTTATTCTCAGGACATTATACGTTTCGTTCGTTGTTTTTAGCTGTAGATATCAGATCGACCATTGATCGATTTTATATTTCAGAAACGAAATAATACATCGAATTATGAAAACACCTATAGCTAGGCTTTATTTTGAATTAAAGGAGATTATGTATTTATACTATTTTCGTTGTATAATCACATCGAACTCTGTTCTTCGGATGAGTCGAATTTGACTTAGAAACGCAAGCAAATTAGATTTTGCCACTCGCGCCGGCCGCTGCCGCGACACGCTCGCTTCACTCGCTTGCTTCGTGCTGCTTTTTCATATAGGTACTACTAACCTAACCAAACCTACTGAATGGAGGGCACAACCTAGCAACCAAGATTTATTGGGAGATCAATATCAAAAGATATACTGGTTATAGTGTCATCAATCGTTACAAGACAAAATCAATAGTAAAAAAGTGGATCAAATATTATTTTTGAATACCAAATATTAATTTAGTATGCTTAAACATAACGATAGTGTTAATCTGAATGCAGATCATTTATAATTTATCCGTAGATCAACTAACTTAGATGGAACAATTATTAATTTACTAGGTCGTTCAAATATAAACGAGAATTTGTTTTTGTTGGAATTTCAATAAAAGTAGTTTGGTTTATAAAAAAATAATATACTACTCTCATTTTTACTTAGATAAATAATGTACATCTTTACCTAAAATTATATTTAAATATATTATTAAAACTCCACTTTCATTCCAGTAATCCTAAATCTTCCCTAAATTACATCTATTCTGTTTTTACCCATTAACGCCCAAAATTATACTAAAGGTCAAAATAGTTTTTTAATGGCATTTATTACCAAAAAATAGGCGAAAAAAAAATGCACGAAGAAAAATACAAAAAAAAATCCATTATGTGGTGAGTTATGGGGATGTACCCGACTGTGTACAATGGGCGTTTAAGTGTGAAACCTTCCGAAGCAAGACCGCTCAACACATAGTGTCTTCATACATAATGTACAACGCCAGCGGACTCAGTTGTGTCAAATAACACATCGCAGCAGGTTTTCAATTCGCTCCGGGCTGTGGCCATTGTTGATACGCTCTAATCCAAGCGATGCTGATGACGATGGGCGGATCTTGGCTTGGATACCTATTACAGGATATGCAGTTAGCAACCTTAGGAACACCAAAATCTTCATCCAAACTCCAATACGCGCGTTCTGTAGGCAGGTCGTGGTAACCAGAAAATATCAAAAAACCCTAAAATCTTTTGAAATCCTCACTATCCAGTTTAAAATTCTGTCGGTTGTTTTGACACTCATACAATAAACTATTAGATGTTATCAAATCTTATCAAAAAATTTCTCAAACAACATACGGGACTACGATTTTTCAAGGATTCTACAATGTTTGCTTTTCTGTTTTTGATAGCATCTGTTCCTTTATGAGCTGTACTATATATCTTTTTCCACACAGGTGTCTCAGAATCTTGGGTTGTAGCTCTTTTTAAAGGTCTCACAAAATGAGACTGCGGCTCTTCATAACTGTCGTCCCAGTCTGAAATATAGTGGTCGGCACCTCTTGGAATTACTTCCACAGTACCTGACTCGTTTCTTGGCAAAGTACAAGTAATAAGATCATCTCCATTTCCTTCTTCTTCATCGGTTACGAGAGCAGGATCTAGTGGCACTAATACCATATCGTATTCTATATAATCGTCATTTTCCTCTGCCATTGTCGCTTCAAGAGCTTCTTCAAGTCTAGAGTTATTGTGGCTTGCAAAAATGTGACGATTCACCATTGTATAATTTTCCACTAACCCATGAGAACATTTATTTTAGTATACAAGCACCCATTATACCCGCTTGTGTACGCTACAACAAAGTGATGCTTAGTTTGTGTTTCGTAATAATTTATCAAAATTATTGTTTCGAATGATGTACTCTAAGTATTTATTGTAATGATAAAAAAGTAAACATATTGCAAGATTTCATAAAAAAAAACATTTCAATAACTTACGTTTAAAATTGTGTCCCAAGGGCGTGACAGCAACTAATAACTATGACAGTTTTTTTTCGCGCTACCGCCATTATTTTCTTTTTTAAGGTTGCAATAGCTGTCTAGCGTGGATAACACTAGTTATTGTTTCTACAGTCATACTCCATGTAGGTAGTTCATTTTTTAAATAGCTGTACCTAATCGTGTACAGCGGGCGGTAAAATGGGTTAATAAAAAAGGGTATAACAAAAATAAATGGTTAACAACAAATGTGTTATTTTTCCACATAATCTCCATGTTTATGAACATATTTTTCCACCGAATCGGACGCTTATTTATTCTCTTCACTGTAAAAAGAAGGGTCCTTGAGCCAATTGCGCACAAAATTCTCAAATCATCGCTAAAACGCTACCCTCCTAAGGCAATTTTCAATAGTCTAAACATGTGAGTCACAAGGCGACAAATCTCGACTATATGGTGGATGTCCAAGGGTTTGCCAGGACATTTTACTGAACATTTGACGCGTTACGGTATGGGGCCGAGTGTCGTCATGCAGAAAATGACGGCCCTGATGGATTGTTGCCGTCTTTTGCTCCGATAAACAGCCTTCGCTTAATCCAGGAGAGTGCAGTAGTAGGCAACATTAACAGTTCTCTGTTCATGAAGGAAATCCAGCAAAAGATTTTAAGGATTCTGGGAACAGAGAAAGTTGCGAGAACTTTCCCAGCAAAAAAACGCGTTTTGACTTTCAATGGGGTAGCCTCTCCAACTCTCCGCCATTCTTTACTCGCCTGCTTGTTCTCTGATCTGTAATTGTAGACCCAAGTCTCATCGCTCAATCAGTCAATCTCCGCAAAACTTTAGCAGGGCGGACTCGCTCCCGTGCCAGAAACTTAAATAATTATTAAATAAATGCATTGCGCCATTTTCTTAGATCCTCTCTACTGTTTTACCCAAGATCGGAGTCGCCTGGCTCTCTTTTTGGACCGCCCCCTTAACATTCTTGCTTATATTTGAACAAACTAGGACATATAAAAAAAAATATCGTTCATTTAAAAAAGTGCACATTGACATCAATTATTTCTTTGAGGATCAAATACCGTTATCCCAAAAAAAAAAAAAAAATACTTCGCAAATCTTCACACTATAATCTACAATGACAACACAATAATCTTACCGATAGAGAATCTTTGGCCGTCGGTGGTGCAGACGCTGACACCCCAATTTTCCGGGCTTGCTCGTGCCAGCTGTGGAATATAACTGGCCACTTTGCCGTCTGTATTACTCTTGGCCGCCCAGTATATTTCTTCAATATCTTTTACGAAATCTTGAAAGTCAGGAATAATAAACTGGCTTCGAAATGCTCTTGTAATTAGAACAATATTAGGTGCGATAACTTCTTTGAAAGTTTTTTCGTCCAATTTCAAAGTCTCCGGGGAACCACCTTCAAAATTTGATTGTTTGTGTACTTTGTATAAATTTTGCATCACTTCTTGTATTCGTGGGTCATTTTTCCTTATCCCCGTTGTCCTCAGGGCCTATAGGTAATGGAAAATATGGTAACTAGCTGTTGACTAAATACGGCAAAGTATTAATATTGGAAGTCACGAACTTTAATAAATGCTACAATAATTTTCATGACAATTTAAATTATACACATATCTAAATACTTACGGCCAAAAACTTCCCAACTGGAAGTAAACCAGTGTCTTCATTTTTGAACATATCGAATAGTACATCATCAGAATTCCTATGAGAGCCTTCTCGAACCCTGTGAGCGGACAAACACGCATTTAAAAATCTCAAAATAGTTCACATACCTAAATATTACGTGAGGCGCACTATAAGTTTCCGGAACGAATAACAAAAAAATACTATAAATGGTCAGAAATGAATTTATTGTTTCTCAAAATATTCTCCGTTAGCGTTAATGCACTTTTTCATACGAATGAACCAATTTTGAAAACATTGATGCTACTCCTCCGTGACAATCTCTGAAACATATTTTTCATACTCTTCGACAGCCTCTTCAGGTGTTGAAAATGGTTGACTGCGTAATTGTCGTAAAAGTCACAAGGTGCCAGGTCGTGAGTGTACGCGGGATGGCTTATAAGGTCAACGTTGTTCACCTTCAGAAATTTATTTGTCTGTCTGGCCGTGTGAGAACTGGCATTATCGTGGTGCAAGGTGATACGACGTTTACGGTTATTTTTACGGATTTTGTCAATAACTTCCGGCAAATAAATGGTCGTGTACCAATCACTATTCACGGTACAACGATTCTCCAAAGTAATAATAGCCACATGTCCAGTTTTATTACAAAAAGAAGCAATCATCCGCTTAGAGGCACTTTGCACGCGTGCCACTTTAGTTAGTTTCGGCTCATCTCGAAAGACCCATACGCTCGATTGCTGCTTTGTTTTGGGATCGTAACTATAAATCCATGTTTCGTCACCTGTTACTATATCCCACACCAAATTTGACACCCCTTCGTTGAATCTGGTAAACATGGCATTGCACCAAGTGACGCGATCTGTTTCTTGAGCCTCAGTCAAATTGTGTGGGATCCACCGAAAGCTTTTCCACGCCCAAATGTTTGTGTAGTATTGATTATATTTGACTCATGCCTATACCTAAAGATGCCCGAGTCTCATGGTATGTCACATACCTATCTGTTTTGATCGTACGGCGCACAGCATCGATATTTTAATTGTTCACAGCAGTGGACGGGCGATCATAACGAAATTCGTCACTGAGATTCACACGACGGCATTTGAATTTTGCAAACCAGCTATAAATAGTCGTCTTGCACGGTGCTTCATCGCCAAACGCAGTTTGAAACCGAGCGAAGCTCCGCTGAGCTGTTAACTTACACTTAGGGTCGTATTCTAGAACTCTATTCAATGCTTAAGTCAGGATTTGAGATGGTTTAAAGCACTCGAAATTATACTCAAGTCCCTGCCATTAGGGTCGTATTTCCAGTGCTTGTGTTTCCAGTGCAATCCTGACTTGAGCATTGAGTAGAGTTCTAGAATACGACCCTTAAAGTCGTAGAAAATCATATTACGAAAATTTTCACGAGTTAAATCCATGGTGGTTGTCTAACCAATTTCTAAAATGACGCCATAATGTAACAACAAGTGACAGTCAGAAGAAACAAACTGTATTCTTCAGCCAAGGAGTTCCATTTTCAAATGTTGCACATACTTTTTAAATATTCAGTTCCGAAAACTTATAGTGCGCCCTATGTATCTACCAGTCTAGAAAAGATTAGTGATATGACGCAAAAGAAGCACTAAATAGAAGACACACTCTGCTAATATCCACTAACAAGGAATATATGAAAGACGTAAATAAGTAAATGTTATTTATAGATCTGTGAACACATCGTCCAATCGTCACTATAGTTTCTGTAAAGCATTTTTCATTTGACGTAGGTTGTGGGTGTGTCCACGACGTAATACGTCGCCGTTTGTTTAAGATCACCTGACGAGTTTATTTTTGACTCTCTACAGCCATACTATGTTTTAAACATTAGCAAAATAGTGTTACAATCGACTATAATGTATACAAAAAATAATGTGCTCTATTTTATAATTGGGGCCAGTGATTATTTTTGGTTTCTAGCCAACGAATGCCAAAAGCAAATACGAAGATTACAAATGAAGAGTTGACAAGCCTTATCTGTATCTGTATTTTACACAATTAAAATCATAAAAACTACTAAAATATTCGCTAAAAATTACACAAATTAATGCAATCCAAATTATCTCGGACCTGACGTAGTGATACATTTCTTTAAGCACGTCAAGATGTGATATACTTTATGGAATTCTTAGTTTTCATTACACTTAACGAATTATGATAAATTATAACGTGATCACTCTTAGGACTCAAGACGCACTTGTAAACATAATTCAAAGTAAAACCGCATTTTACTAAACGTATCGCGTTTTTTGCATCTTAACTTGTAAGAAAGTCCTCTACCAATATCACTATAGGTACTCCGCACAGGCAAGTAATGCGATATTAAAGCAATCAAAAATACAAACATCCAATAAAAATTTCAATTAAGTTGTTAAAAACAAGAAAAGTCGATATTATGTTCGACTTATAAAGAATGCGTATTCTACGTGCATTCGAAAAATAAAGTTAGAAGCGTTGCGCATCATGCAAATTATTGTAAAATCCTGTAACAGATATAGCCCTTACTCACGTGGGATCGAAGTTGCGCACAAAGGAATATCGCCTGCATGTAACATACACACAGTTATGGAATTATATCATAAATTCAGAAAAATATTATCATAATCCAATTCAATACATGATGGTCTCAACTACGGGTACCGAACTTGAGTACAGTGTTTTATTGATCTCCAAATCCACCGTTGCTATGTATCCAACAGTGCCTAAGAATAATATAATAAAATAACAGCTCTACCTTATGTTACGTTTTATGTACTGGTGTCCCCGTTAATAGCATGGCTTATTTAATTCAATAAAATATAACATATATTTACAACCATTTCGTGGAAGTTACCAACAAAGGAAATGTGACTTCGTATACATAATTTCAAATAGACTCAACGACACAAGAACAAACGTACTTCCAAAAATGTCGGCTTTGAAAGATTACTATTCATTTTAGGTGAATAATCCGGTGTAAATATAAAACAATTTACTATAAGCGCCCCTGTTAAAGAAGTGTCACTATTACCGGACACCCAGTACATTATAGGTAAATTGAAGTGAACTCGGCAGGCGCTTGCAACCATTTCGAAGTTAATTTAGATCAATAGAAACTGTTAAGTGTCATCAATAGTAATTTATAGCCAATAGGAGACTATTGATTCAACTTTGTTAAGAACATTCGAAAATCAACTTTTACTCAATCACGGATCCGCGACAATTTTAAAACACCGTTTAACAATCAATTAACTTAAAAAGATTATTACCTGATATCAATTGATTCTGGAGCATAAAAACGGTTCGCTGGTCGTCGCCATAACTAAAACAATAAACACCATTATTATAATTATAGACATTAACTTCTTTCATACACGGAAGCCGGTCTTAAAAGTTGACAGATTTTTTATGGTGACTGGTGGTATAAAAGAAAGACTTACAGGTGCAGTTCCATCTATAACGTAAACTGGTCGAACTTGACTGTAGTTTCGGTTGCAAATACATTCCGTGTTTGGTTGATAAAAATGTCGAGCGGTAGTTGAAAGCCGGCGAAGCTGGCGGCTGTTCATGGCGGCAGTCGATAAGAGGCGACCCACAAACTAAAGAACTTGAGAGACTGAAGAAATCGCACACGCGCAGAACATTCCGTGTGAACTGCGCATGCGCCACTGCTCTTGTCTGCTCATCTTTCGCGTAGCAGGTACTACCTGTTTACAGCTTGTGTTCACATTTACACAGTGACGAGTGCATGGGGAAATCAAAATTATGTATTTCATAGTGAATCGTGTCACTCTCGTTATCGCTGAATATACATTGTTTAATACTATGTGTATGGTATTATAAATTCATGTGAAGTTGGAATATTTTTAAATACTTTCTTTAAACTGATTATGCTGTTTACTTTATTCGTTTTTAAAGTATTTACTTTTAAGCATTAAAATTGTAAATAAATTTAAAAGATAGTAATTAACGACTCTAATAAATAAATTATAGATTGTTGTAATAGTAAAACAGCTAACAATAAGCAACGACATAACAATATGTTGTAGATAACTATCTAGATACCTTCATACAGTTATAGCGAGCTATTCAGAAAGTCTATGTAAAACCCATAATGAATTCACTAAGCTACATACGTAAGAAAAATACATGCAGATATATTTACAAATTGGTTAAAGTGTTAAATAGTTTTCCTTCCTCCACAATGAACCATTAAGTGACGGATCATACACAATGTTACAATGAACTCGTGCAATACAGGTATATTGTTATGATATATACAAATATAAACTTAAAGGTGAACCATTTTAAGCAAATTTACCTACATTTATTTCCTATAAGCATTTATTTAAAACTTAATTTATTATATAATAATTTTTGCTGTAGAGACATGAATGAAGCTGTGTTTATAATTATAATTTGTAATTACTTGGGTTCATAGAACATAAGCATTAACGTCACTTTATATAATTGTTGTTATACAAAAAATAGACACTAAAAGACAATTCTGGAAAGTAATGTAAATATTTTCGATGTTTACCTTTGTTCCCTTTTTTGTTGTCCACCTGTACCTTTATCTAGAGTTTACAGTGTCGATAATCCGTATGCGATACAAAATACCTAGTCAAATATTTTTTACACAATTACTAACAGTAATAAACAACTCGAGGTTGAGAAACTTTGGTGCCATGACTTTTTTTTTTCTACTGCAAGATTGTTTGCAACGAATAAAGTAAACTGTTTCGTCTGAAGCAGTCAAGTATGAGCAAGCAGATATATTCGTGAAATTATTGGTCTATCGTATATGTGTGCGTGATCACGCCGTTTTTGTTACGCGCTCACACTGAATAAAAGTTATGGTAACGGGTAACACCATCAGATAAGTTAGTAAATAAAAAAGTTTATATTTACCTCAAATTCCCTGGTATTGTCGGCCATTATGAAATCTTCAAATAAGATGTTTGAAAATAAACGAATAAAAATCGAAAATAACAAAAAATACACCTGCGACTGGAGTGCGTGAAAAATTGTCGCGAAAACTGCACACACGTCGTTTGCGATTCGCGATATGTACTGAGCAATTCTTTGGCGGTCAGTTGGTTATAAATAATACGAGTATATTGTGAAGAGCCAAGTATTATTAGTCAGGAACGAACTATACTTAGTTTATGCATTTATGATTTATATTTACCTCTGAAATAAGCGCAAATTTGATGCAAATGATCCCTAAATAATTAAAAGTGATGAAGTGCTTGTATAGCGGGTTACACGTATGCAATGTGACATAATTCTTTCCGGAAAATAGATCTTTACGTCATTTACACTTAGAAGAATAACGCATTTACATACAAATTTACAGTTTAACGAAATGACTACTCGTATAGCTTAATCTCTGACTATGTGTATTTAAATTGGCAAATGTGTATTATTTCAATGGAGAGAAAGCCTTTTTACCAAGCGGTGGTAATAAGTCTATGCGACGATGCAGGGAAATAATGCAATGTTTTGCATTATTTTTATGTACTCTATCAGACTCCTTTCTCATCTTTATTCATTTACCATCATGTGCAATTATGGTCCGTGTTAGATTTGTCATTCCATTTTAGTCGTGATCGATAAATGTTACCTATTTTCTAGTTTTTATTGAATGTCACGATGTTTTACTATCATGATATTCTACTACTATTATAATTATTTTTTGTGAAATTGCTCCACTAGTTTGTTAAAAAAAACATAAAGAAGAGAGAACACTTAGACAAAAATCCTTCTATCCGGCCGGATTCGAACTGATGTCTTCTAGCAAACCATCTCAGACGCTATGCCAAAACGGAACGAACCAGCGGACCTTACGAATTTTTCTATGTGCTTTTTGCAGATCTTGGTTATTGGTTTTTAACGACAACTGTCGAGCAATTTCACCAGAAAAATTCAATATCACAGAAAATTATTTCTTCCCTCAGATAATAAATAAATTTCTCGCAGATGGCGCTACGGCGTAAATAGTTGTATATATATAAGTGTTATGCAGTTCGCTAGTTTTATTCATCTGGATACCCTTTGTACGTAATAGCAGGGCTCTAGTTCCCACTATAGGGTCCTTCGAGCAAAAAACCCGAACGAGCGGTCTTAAGAAAAGAAAGAAAACATTCATCGAGAAAGTTTCTTCAATTGAAACTACCAACAACGTTTTGCGCCGTTCCACCCATCAACAGTCAAGAAGCTCTTCTATTGCAGCTCTTACTGTCTGCATTACAATATTCCAGCAGTCCGTCTTCAAGTGAATTATTGCCATCGTTAAAAAATCATTGATTCTTGTGACGTGCATACACGAAGTTCAGTATAAGTTGGATCAGGAGCCCTAGCACACAGTGAAATCTTTCCATTTACACAATCCCATCATATAGTTTTATATCCTACCTAAAAAATCTTAATTGTACAATGTTGGTGGAATGTTACACAGACCTTATTTCCAATAATTTCTATTTAATTACACTTTACTTAAGACGCAACACATAGTTACATTATTCTTACATTCTAGTAACTAAACTAATTTCATTTTGTGTGTGAATATTTTTACTCCTGGCAAAAACGCCTGCCGCAATACAATAGCAAATGCAATTCAAAGCAATACTTAATTCATATTGCTCCTTAAGTTTGTCAGGCGCAACTTACGTTTGCTCTTAATCTCTTTATGGTTCACGAGTCTTTCACTCGAGTTTTTCGCTTGCTTGCGTGACTCGCTTCGCACATATCAAAGATCTGTCGCGTACGCGCAGGTAGGGCAGTTCAAGCGTCCCTCGCTTGCGCAGGCCGCTTGCTTTGCGTTGCGTGAGTTTGATATCTAGCAAACTTAATATTTCCACGCAAGCAACAAGGAACGTTTGCGTAGAACAGTATCACTGGCCAATCACAGAGCAGCAGCTGGTTCCAGAGTATCGACAACCCAAACAAAGGCAAGGCGCCGCGCAGCATACGCGCAAGTCTCTCCGCAACGCAAAGCGGAAAACTCGTGAACGTCTTTCCGCGGAAGGCAGATTTCTACGCCGTCTACCCAGCCAATGCAAGCAAAACACAACAACTTGCGAAAAATGCAAGTGAAAGACGCGTGAACTCGGCATTAGTGCGTAACTGTCTTACGCGGTCGACTTGTAACATTGCACATCAACACACGCCAGGAGTAAGAAATTTAAGTCTCCGACCACACGCTCTTGCTCTCTTATCATAGAGTCTTATGACAGTGGTTATAGAACGGACATTAACTGTTTCTTATAGCCAGAATTACCAAATACATAAATAAATACTCACGATATACCCCCTTCACGATATACCTTTGAGAATTTGCTTAACTGATCTGTCTTATGACGTCCCTTCCTCCATCGACTTGTTGGAGCTGACATCTTTTGGAGTGTATACGGTACTGTGGGAAACGTAGTCATGGTTATAGCGTAGAGAAGTTTTAAACGAGGAATATAATAATAATTAAAGGTTTTGCTGTTAGTTTCTATAAGGAAATTAAGTAAATGACGAAACGCCATTAAAACTACGCAATACGAGACTAACTTTTATTGTCGAAGGAAGGTTTACAGAAAATACAATATTAATAGACACATGTACATCATTCTTCCCTCCCTAGTTTCTAACCACATATTCTATACTTAACGCTATTTAAAAAAAACGAGGTAAATAATGTCTAACTTAGTGGGTAATGTAAAACAAGTAATTGTATATATATAATAAAATATAACATATAAAAGATATAGGTATATAAAGTACATACTTGCATATCTTAACAAACTAACTTAGGTATATTTATTGACTGTGGGTATAAACGTGGGCTTCGTACCCTAACAATAATGTATGTGGTATGTTATTAAACCGAAATTAATCCAATCTATTTCCATTTCAAATCCATATTTTGCTACCGGCTTGCGAGATCTTTTTACATGGGGCGAACGTGTCGGAGGGCTACTTATATGCACTGCTGGTGTTATCGGCGGGGCAGGCTGCGACACGGTCTCGGGTTCAAGGCCGAGTGCACCTTGTTCGTCATTTGTAATTGTCTTCTGCTCTAAACCGTCGTCATCATACGAGTTGGAGTGAGAATGCAAGTGAAAATCTGTGATGACAACACAGAAGTTTCGTTCGCTGCATTTACGTAATAATAATAATAATAATAATTTATTTCGGACCATAAAATATCCATAGCATGTTAGTAAAAGAACTTATATCAAGATTAGTAATAATCATTGCAACTTAATTATATTTCGAACTGGGCTACGCCCTTAACTTGCACTATCCAAGATAGGGCAATCATAATATCTTCCCGCTATAGCATTTAGAATGCTGTTAAATACTAAGCCTCACGCGACTCATCAGCGACACAAACTTTTTGCGCATGATGGCCTGGAAGCTGTCCGTGTGAACCACCGCCAACATACCCGATGTACCTACTACACAAATGCATTATTATATTGCACGCGCAGGGCGTTAAAGGCTCGTTTTGTATACCTAACCCACAAGCTGCTCGAGTAAAAAGATTAACATAATAGGAGGAACATAATACAGTTTAATTTTACCTGCCTTAAACACCATGACCTCGCTTTTCTTCGGGTTGTATTCTAATCCATGTGCCATGGCATACTCCTCACAAGTCTCAAGCATCTGCATTAACGCACTGACCGACGGGCTAAGCAGCACCATATCATCAGCATAGCTTAAGTTATTTATACAAGTACTTCCCACGTAATATCCTGCATGCATGCTGCTGAGCCCGCCTATCAGCTTGTCAAGGTACAGGTTAAATAGCTTCGGTGAAGTAATCCCCCCTGCCTTACTCCACACTCCAGTTTGTACTCAGCAGATGACATATTTACCCACCTAACCTGATTTTTCTGATTGCTGTACCAGTGCCTAAATAATGGCACATATTCTCCCGGTATGCCTGTCTCACTTAATTTTTGCCATAGCAGATCATAGTTGACTCGATCAAATGCTTTTGACAAGTCGAGGAAACAAGCATACACGGGGGTTTTCCTATCTGTATAATACCTGACCGTATGCTTCAGACACAGAATCGCACTTTCTATGGATAGCCCCGCTCTGAAACCAAATTGGGCGTCATGAAACTTTAAGTGCCGTTCCAGTATAGTGTCCAGCATACGGTGAAGTATCTTGGCGGTAGTGGTGGCAAGCGAAATAGGCCGATAATTCGTTCTGTCAGATAGGTCACCTGTTTTATTCTTAACAACCGATACAACAAACACAAATCGTCCTCATGAGTACCTCTGGAAGGTACGAGTGGCCCATACAAAAGCTTAATAGCATAGAGAGAACACGTGGTAGATGTACCCCCGTATACTTAAAGTGCTCAACGCTAAGACCGTCGAGATCAGGCGACTTACCCCTCTGCATATTATTAATTACCGTCTTAATCTCTTTAGAGGTAAAATGGGTAATACGCCTGCCCCCGACGGTCCCAGCACCGAGCCCTACCCCACGAAAAGTTTGTACGTCTCCGCAATTTCACCACAGTCAGACTTGTCCCCCACACTCACAGGCAGGCCAGGCTTTATATTCATTTGTTTAGTTTTATTCCAAAAGTCGCCAAATTTTTTAGTTCTAAGGGTCTCAGAGCTAGCTTGCCCATTTTAAATTGATCCTGCCTGTCTTGACACCACTTGAGTTTTGACTGGAAGACATTTTTTTATGATTGTAACGCGCCTCCTTGGTACGACCCTACGACTGGCCGTCACTGTAGCGAGCGCGGACATATGACGTTGGCGTATAGGATGACGGACGTGTCGTGTGTGTTGTCTCTTGTCGCTTGAAGGTTTAAGAGGTGTTGTTCTGATCTCCCAAGGGTACTAAGACCGTCACCCGTTTCACTATACTGGCGCCCAACGTGCCCTTGGTGTAGAATTTAAGATGCCGCGTACGCGTCAGCAGGACGACTCCGAGGAGGATCCGGAAAATATTAACCAAATGGCTGCGTTGTTCGCAGCCATGCAAGACAATAATTTCCGGGCTATGGAGCGATTGATGGAGAGATTTACGGCTCCCACAGAAGGAGGTCATTTTACCGCCTGCACATCCAGGTTCGGCGGATGAGGACTTGGAGGTTTTTCTAGACGCCGTAACGACATATAAGGAGTGCGCCGGCGTATCAGATCAAAACGCCGTTAGGGGCTTTTCTATGCTCCTGACACAGGACGCTGAGGTCTGGTGGCGCAGTGTGAAGCCGGAGGTGAAGACGTGGTTGCATGCATTAGACTTACTCCGTAGCACTTACGGTGTGCGGCAGCCGCCGTACAAGATATACTTAGATTTATTCTCCCGGCGGCAAAGTACAGAACATACTGACGTGTTCGTAGCTACTGCCCGTAACCTCCTAAATAAGCTACCAACCGGCGAACTCTCAGAGAAGGTCCAGTTGGACATGGTGTATGGCCTCCTACACCGTCGAATCCGCATAAGAGTGCAGAGGGACGGCGCAAAAACGTATGTGGAGCTGCTGCAGGCTGCCCGCGCCATAGAGGACGCAGACGTCGCTGAGCACCCTGACGACGACGTAGGAACGTCGGAACGCCGTGTATACGCCGGAGGGCGCGCGGCCAGCGCCACTGCCGCCGCGGGATCACCGCCGCCGTCTGGGTTCACACGTGTGCCGCGGAGCGCCGCGCCGAGAATTGCAGTGACGATTCACTAACACTTGAAAGTTACGTGTTCGACAAAAAGTATAAGTCACTATAATAAAAATGCCAACTATGTCTACATTATTCTATGTCTGGTTTCCTATGATATCCTATGGAAGAAATTGGAAAGTCTAAATTTACCACCTGAATTAGTCAAGATTTTTAAATACTGGTATGGAAATCAGATCAACTACGTTAGATGGGCGGGAAGGATGTCGGACCCTTATAAGCTCGAATGCGGTGTTAGGCAAGGCGGATTGAGCTCCCCTAGCTTATTTAACGTATACGTCAATGGACTGATCGAGGCCCTCAGCAGCATGCGTATCGGATGCCATATAGATAGAGTGTGCCTAAATAATATTAGTTATGCGGATGATATGGTACTGCTGAGTGCATCAATCTGCGGTATGCGTAATTTATTAAAAGTGTGTGAGGGGTATGCGATAGACCACGGACTTAAATATAATACACGTAAAAGCCAATACATGGTATTTGGGAATGGGCGTAAGTATAACTCTGAGCTACCTCAAATCAAACTTAATGGTATAGACCTTCAGAGGGTAAATCAATTTAAATATCTAGGGCATATACTTACGCCTGATCTCAATGACAATAAGGACATGGAAAGGGAACGTAGGGCTCTGTCGGTCAGGGCGAATATGATCGCACGCAGATTCGCAAGGTGTTCGGGAGAGGTAAAAGTAACGCTCTTTAGAGCGTACTGTACCTCCTTTTATACCTGTAAACTGTGGCGAGAGTTTACGAACCGGGCCTACAGGGCCCTACGGACTCAATACAATAACGCGTTCCGGGTGTTGATGGGGCTGCCCGCTTCTGTAGCGCATCAGGGATGTTCGCCGACGCGCGCGTGGACGGCATGGACGCCACTGTGCGCAAGAGGTGTGCGTCCCTGGTGCGCCGCGTGCGGGCCAGCCCCAACTCCGCTCTCCGTGTCATAGGGGACAGGGATGACTGCCCCTATATTAGGCATTGCTGCGGGTTACATGCTCCCAAGCATGTAATCAGATTTTAATTTAAGTTCAATTTTAATTTTATTTCAATTTTAATTTAACTTCAATTTTCATTTAAATTCAATTTTAATTTCATTTTAATTTAAATTCAATTTTAATTTTTAATTTTAAGTTTTACTAACTTTAGATTAAGTTCACATGTATGTACTAACAAGTGAGTCTATTGTTACTCGAAATAAAAAGTTATTATTATTATTATTGAGTTCTGCTTCTTTGGATTCATTTCGTTCATATTACCACTGTTTTGGTGTCGTGATATTCAGACTGTGTGAAGATGGAAAGTCGCGTCTCAAACGATCAGCTAGAAATGTTATTTGACCATCTTCTAAGACACCCAGCATTGGATAAAGGCTTTAGTCTATGTGGAAGTTCACAAGAGACATCTGAAAGGCTGTGGAACGAATTAGCTACCAAATAAATGTTCTTGGCAGTGGAACAAATAAAAGTAATGCACAATGGACACTTAGAGTGAAGAAAATTTAAGTAATTGAAATAATTGCAAATGTATCTAAAACCAATGCCAAAGCTGCAATGTTTCAAGCTGAGGCCGCTCAAATACAGTCCAGGCCCTAGTGGATATTGTACAATTACTCAAAAAATAATTAAGACAAACTAGTGGTTAATTGTTATTATTCTTAATATCATTTCGTTGTGTTATTGTAGGAAAATTTTAATTAGGTATGAATAAAAAGTGGCAATCAATAAACACCTTTCAATTTTCAACTTGCATTGTAAAATTACATAAATTAACATTTTGTACAATTGCTTACAGTCCTCTCCTACCATCCCATCTGTCAACATTTTGCACTGGTCTTATGAGTGAAGGACCAATTGGAAGTTTTATGAAAGTAAACAATTCAATTTAAGGCTTTTATTTCATACATTCATTCATAAGGGTTAGTAACAGAACACTTTAAAATAGAGTTAGTATAACAAACAATTCTTTTTCAAAACAATTATTATACAAACTCAAGATGCTCAGAGGTTATGGATGTAGTTGACCCAAACCGCATGAATAATACAAGAAAATACTTTACTAACTACTTACTGTCTAGTACTTTTAACAAACAAGTCAAATTTTGATATTATATGGAACAAGAAGAACACTGTCTAACTATCTAGTAATACAATATAAAATTGTGTGCATAGTGCTGTGTACATATACATACATAATTTTTCCCAATGGCTTAACATTCTTATCTGCTTCTCCATAACCTCAGTATTATTATTGCCTTTTGACTGTGGCCTCTTTCTAACTCGAACTGGGATGATTCAGAGCTGTTATTGCAGGAATAGGCCTCGTAGAATCTTTGGTAGACTCTTCTTGGTGTAAGTGTAGCTCCATTGACAATGTTATGTGATACCGAGCAGGCTTTCATAATTTTTGTAACAGTGCTATCATGATAATGCGAAACTCTGTGAAAGCAAAAATCTTCACATCGCTTTCAATTCCCCAATGCCCCGTTCAATGGTGTTTCTGGCTCTACAGTGAAAATCAATATAATATTCTTCTGCACTGTCAGGAACAGCATTTGAGACTGGTGTTAATAGCCACAAACGTAATGGATATTGCGAGTCCCCTGCAACATAAAGTAAAAATTTCATCATGTACACACTGCCACACAGTAATTGTAATTGTTAAGGTTGTTAATTGTTGTAATTTTTATGTCGCATAACTTATTCAAATGTTTAATATTTTGTGTGGTGAATAAATTGTTTAAATGTATTTTTGTAAATCTTTTATCAGGAACACTATTACTTTTAGAGCATTTAAAGTGAAGTTTAACTTGGTTTCGTCAAAAATAAGTTAACTAACGTAACTTTACTTCTATTTTTCGTCATTTCGTCACGTTCTCCTAAGATTACTTACCTTACTTTCCACGGAAATTTTATTTGTCCTTTGTCGACGAGACAAGAGAGGAGTCAATTCATGGCCCTTTGAACAATGCCTTGGATAATCTATGAGACCTGAACTTGGAAGTCCGAAATCTCAAAGGCCCTGCCGATGGCATTATTTCGGATTCTCCACCGAAGAATGGTAGCGTTCCTCCATGTAACACTCTCTTTTCCATTTAAATAGTCCAATAAAATGAGAACTCGCACCATCGCAGTTATACACACGCTACAAGCAGAAGATCACTGAATATTAACAACATTTCACTGAACAATCAATAAATAACTATTTTTAAGTCAAATCAGTTGTTACTTACGATTAAGGAGATGAAATAACAATGTAATTTGAAAAAGCAATCAATCAACAATTACCAAACAACCACTGTGGCACTAGTTGTCAAAAGTCCGTCGCTAATTGCTCTTGCGTCGCTGTAAATGTCGTTCGGTAATACGAAAAAGCAACCGGTCGCTTTCTGTCAAAGCATTTTCATGCAGTTTTAGTTTATTAGTTGCTCGCTAGAGGCGCTGTAGTCGACTGGTCGCAATTGTTCGTTCCGTAATACGAATTTATGTTTTGACAGCGATAATCGTGCAACTATTGCTAAAACGACTGGTCGCTAAAGATCGGTAATAAGCCTGGAGATTTTAAATCTGTACTCCCGGTGGAGTTTTTTAAGGAAATACGCGTAAAGGGGAAAAACAGCGAATTTCTTAAAAAAATTTTTATTGGAACATGTTCAAAAGTAGGGTGACCTTGAATTTTTCGGACCAAAGTACTACACTTCCAAATGAAAGTAGGGTGACCCAAAAATTCGTAGACAAATCCGGGACTACGACCTCGACAGGCTGAGGGCGGGCGTGGAAAATTTAAATTTGTCAAATATGTCATCTGAGTACACGGTTGATAATAATTCAACTACCGGTTATTACCGTCGTCCCATCCTAGAAATTGAAGTTTCGGGAATTCGAGGTATAGCTATTATCGATACCGGCTCCAAACGGAGCGTTGCTGGCTATACCTTATATAAAATATTACGGCAGCGTAATTGTCACATGATTGAAACTTCTATGAATGTAAAACTCGCAGACGGTACCGCTCGAGAACGCAGAGTTTTAATCGCTAAAGTCGAAGTTAGAATTAAAGGAGATCGAGTCATTATTTCACAGTTTGTTATTCTACCGGATGCGTCAAATAATGAAACCCTCTTGGGTATGGATTTTATAATGGCAGCCGGAATTTCTTTAGATTTTACCCATGGAACGTGGCGTTATTTAGGTAATGATTCAGTTTTTCAGTTGGACTTTGAATCATTCTCGCCGATTGTACCTTGCTTCGCTGCTGACGTCCTGCGGGAAGATGAGGGCGTTGTTCTAGTCCAGGAGGAGAAGCTGCGCCTACTGAATCTTTTAAATGGAAACAATGATATTTTTCAGCCAGGGGGAGCACCTACAACCTTCGCCGAACATCATATTGACACTGGAGACCACTTGCCTATATCGTGTCCGCCTTACCGCGTTACACCCGCTAAGAAGGAGGTAATGAAAACGGAGATCGATAAGATGCTCCAGGAAGGAGTAATCGAAGAGTGTGAATCAGAGTGGACCTCTCCAGTGGTCATGGTACCTAAAAAAGATGGCAGTGTGCGGTTTTGTGTGGACTATCGCCGCTTGAATTCTATTACGAAAACGGACCATTATCCCTTACCCGTCATAGATGACCTTGTTCATTCTACTAAGCGAGGTTATTATATGTCTACGATCGACTTTAAATCTGGTTATTGGCAGGTAAGCATGGCTCCTTCTGACCGCGACAAAACCGCGTTTATTTCTCCATTAGGTACTTACCGTTTTGTCCGAATGCCGTTTGATCTGAAAAATGCGCCATCTACTTTCCAACGTATGATGGATAGGTTCCGCTCAGGATCTAGTCTTCAAGATGTTTCTATTTTGGTTTATTTGGATGATATCCTAGTTATTTCCAGCAATTTTGAACAACACCTACAGGACTTGCAGAAAGTATTTGATCGTCTTCGCGTTTTCGGTCTAACCGCTAATAGGAAAAAATGTACTTTTGTTAGGAAAGAGGTAACATAGCTGGGTCATGTGATTACCCCCGCTGGTATTAAACCTGACCCTAAGAAAATTGAAGTAATTATGGATATGAAAGATCCTTCTAACCTCAAACATTTACGAACGTTCCTTCAAACTTGTTCTTGGTTTCGCAAGTTTATAACAAACTTTGCTAAAATAGCTCAACCACTTACTAAGCTTACCAAGAAAAATCAACATTGGACTTGGGGGAATGAAAAGCGTGAGGCGTTCCGCGCTCTTAAAGAGAAACTTACAAGTTCTCCAATACTTATACAAGCTGACTACAACAAACCATTCATCCTGCGAACAGACGCAAGTGACTACGCCATTGGTGCGGTACTGTTGCAGTGTGAGGGCGGAGAGGAACACCCTTTGGAGTATGCCAGTCGTCTGTTACTGCCTGCTGAAAGGAGATACAGTACTACGGAGCGGGAGGCCCTGGCTGTTGTATGGGCTGTTGAGAAGTTCCGGCCCTACATTGACGGTCACAGTATTCGCGTCAAGAGCGACCACCAGCCTTTAAAGTGGCTGTTTACCGTTAAATCCCCAAGCGGGCGCCTTGTTCGATGGGCGTTGAAGCTCCAGTCGTTCGATATCCAATATGATTATACCCCAGGGAAGACTAATGTCATAGCGGACACTCTCAGTAGACCCTTTTGCGATGGGAATGATGAAAACTGCGGCGTCTGTTCCATTACTGTCGATCTCCCTCGTATCGACGCGACTAAACTCCGTGATTCGCAACTTGAAGATCCGGCAGTCGCTAAAATTATCCGAGATTTGGAATCTGCACACTCGCTTAGCAATTTACGATGGTCTGAGCGGGGATACGTAGTGGTTCGTGGTGTTTTGTTTCGTTACAACCCAGATAATGAAATTGAAGACCCTCAGCTCGTTATTCCGGTAAGCAAGCGTGAGGAGGTCTTGAAGCAGTTTCACGATGCGCCTACCACTGGACACCACGGCGTAGAAAGGACGTTGGATAAGATTTACCAGAAATACTATTTCACGGGAATGGGAAAGGAAACCCTCAGGGTTCAAATGGTGAGAAATGGGTGCTCCTTGTTGAAGACACTGCAACCAGATGGGTGGACCTGTTTCCGCTAAAGGACGCCACCGCCGAAGTCTGCGCGCCTGTTCTCATAAACGAGTATTTCCTTAGATACGGATTTCCTCGCAGGATCATTTCAGATAATGGCGTCCAGTTCATAGCTGCAACCATGCAACAGTGCATGCTTCTACTCGGCGTTAAGCAAAAGCTTCTACCGCTGTATCACCCTGAAGCGAACCCAGCAGAACGCAAGAATCGCGATTTAAAGGTATTGCTCTCAATCCTCGTCAAGAATGAACATCGATCTTGGCCTGTGTTTCTACCGCAGGTTAGATTCGCGCTGAATTTAGGGAACACATGCACCATGGATTGTACTCCCGCGTATTTAATGTTTGCAAGGGAGATGCGTACTCCGTACGATGCACATCACGATCTACGGGCCGTCCTCGAGAAGGAGAATTTTTTGCCCCAGGTCACGCCATATTTGCGGCGATTCTTAAAAAATTTGAAAGAAGTCAAAGAGAGGGTAGAACAACAGCAAGATTCTAGGAAAGAAGATGCTGATAAAAACCGCTGTTCCGCTCCTGAGTACCAACTCGGTGACCTAGTGTTGGTGACAAAGTGACAACTAGCCTACTAAGTGATTCTTCCAAAGGCAAAACAAGGAAATTTATGCCAAAGCGGGATAGACCTTACAGGATCTCTAGCAAAGTTAGCCCAACTTCCTACGAGATCACTGTTTGTGATTCTGGGCAGGAGCTTGGCAAATTTCACGTGTCTGATCTAGCCCCGTTCCGTTACGTCACAACAGAGGATGAACAAGTCCCCAAACCCGTTCAACCGCGACGACGCCGCGGCCGGCCGCGTAAGCAGCCTGGTCGGACGCGAGACTGACCGATCCTCCGTCGGGTCGACCAGGAGGATCGGAGGGGGAGTGTGTAACGCGCCTCCTTGGTACGACCCTACGACTGGCCGTCACTATAGCGAGCGCGGACATATGACGTTGGCGTATAGGATGACGGACGTGTCGTGTGTGTTGTCTCTTGTCGCTTGAAGGTTTAAGAGGTGTCGTTCTGATCTCCCAAGGGTACTAAGACCCTCACCCGTTTCACTATATGATGCATTTGTTCAAAAACTGAACCATACAGTGGTTTTCCTGCAAGCTCCCAAAGTTGAAACTGTAACCTGGCCTCTCTGTGAGCTTCAGCAACATATGTATTTCACCCTGCTATACAATTGATCAATGTGTTTCTTAAGATACTTGCCGTTGTATTTAATAAAGTAAGTCAACGGATCCGTTATCATTCCCTTTTCCCAAGTCACGCTGTTATTTTTTAATATTTTTACATATACTTGATCACATAAATTAAATTCTCTTCCTTTTCTCCCATGGTATTTTTGTTGGATTTCTTGTTTACGTTTTACTAAATCTTCGGTAATAGGTCGTAGTAATTGGAAAGATATTCGAACCTACTTCCCCAGTAGCAAGGAGACTGGCGTTTTATTTGTGATACTGTGCGGTGTTGATCGATGAATAAACAAGTAATTTTTCAAGACTTGCTCTAAATCAATTTTATCATGTAATCTTTTTTAACGCCGTTTTTACGATTTTAACTGCGTTTTCTGCTGCACCGTTGCTACTAGGTTTATGTGGTGTTGACGTTATGTACAGAATACCTAGACTGTTCAAATATGCTTTGAACTCATTCCCGGCAAACGGTGGCCCGTTTTCAGACCTCGCACACAAATTGGCCAAAAATATGACGTAACTTCCCAATGGTGTTTATCGCTGATGTAGGTAATTGGTACTCGAAATGCCTCTATCCATTTTGAATGTGAATCAATTACTATTAAGTAATATATTGTGTTGACCGCTAAAGAAAAAAATGGATACGAAGTCGATACCATGGCTCCTGGGGTCAGGCCCACAGGATCATCAATTCCTGACCAATAAATATAATTACGAGCTAGGTTTTTGCATTTCATAATACCTTGGTGGGTCTCGTGCACCATTCGTAGTACATTTAGTAAAGTACACAACTTTATTATATAGGAGTAGGAAAGGTAAAACATTTGCAACTTATTGCAAGCCATAAAGGCTTGCAATAAGTTGCAAATGTTATTTCGCGACCGTAAATGTAATTGTGAAATTTAGTAACTCCAAAAATAATAGATAGACCTTCACAACATATCTGTGCATTTTTTTTTCTGCGGCAGATTAGGTACGTAACACGTGCAGTGCAGACAGCACGGCGCCCACAACGTACGGCGACGCGCACGTTACAGTAGTCGATCGTCGTCGTTTTTTAACGCACAAAGTGGGCTCAACGTGCTACTTAAATTGTTTATAAACTTTCCGTAATAATTTACAAGACCTAAGAAAGCCTTCACGTCTCGGGTGTTTGACGGAATAGATGTTTTTAAAATCGCATCAACTTTAGTTATTTCTGTGTGAAGCCATTCTGCATCAATAAAATATCCTAAATAAGATTTAGATTTTTGAAAAAAATTTCTTAACCCACATTACGATTAAATTTTGAGTCTTTCACATGTATCATTTTCGTTTAATCAACAAATACTC